AACCTGCAGAAAAAGGGCAGAGGAGGGAAAAAAAGGGATCTTTGGGATGGTCTGGGATCCTGGTACACAGGAAGGTTTAATGCTCTGTCCAAGGAGAGAAAGGGACGTGGCAGCAGCACCAAACACGGAGGGAAAAAAAGGGATCTTTGGGATGGTCTGGGATCCTGGTACACCAGGAAGGTTTAATGCTCTGTCCAAGGGAGAGAAAGGGACACGGCAGCAGCACCCAAAAGTGCCAATCCAAGGATTGGCAATTCCCTCTTTCCCACCACAAAATAGGCTGGGAGGGGGGCAGCTGATGAGGTTGTTTGGCTGCAGCAGCTGAAGGCAAAGCTCTGTCACATGGCACAAGATTAAATCACACCCATGGAATGGCAGAGGGGCCCCCAAGGTGGGATTAGGGAAAGCCCGGGATGGCGTCCGGTGCCACGGGTGCAGTGGGATAAGCGGGAACAGGGGGCTGTGCCTAGGAGGGATAGCAGGAAATGGGGGTGGTTTGAAAAACCTTTTCTTAAAAAGCAGCTCAAATCCCAGAGAAAAATCCTGCTGGAGCTTTTAACAACTCAATATTTGGCCAAGTTTGGGCCCCCCCAACTCTGCACGTGGTCTGGGGGGTTTGGGCTGAGCCTGCTCCCACCCTCCCAAAACTCCTGGTTTTTGGGAGGAGGAATGGTTCTGTGAGTTTTCCTGCCCATCACAAATCTCAGCATGAACTGGCTCCCATGAGCAGAGTGAAACCTCCCTTCATCTTCCTCCCACTGCCAACAAAAACCACTTAGCCTTGACTGGCCACAGGGAAAAAAAATATTTCGGGGTGGCTCCCTGGATTCCAGAAGGGTGTCCTGCCCCTCTGCTTCCAAAGAGTTTTTTTTTAAAACATTTTAAATCTCCTCCTATGGAGAATGGAGCATCTTTTCCCTCTCCATGACTTTTCATGGTTGAAAAGACCTTGAGATTGCTTTTTTATCTCCAGTGGGGCTTTCCAGGCTCCAAGGTTGCTGAGGGACCTTGATGTGGTGGCAGGTGTCCCTTCCCGTGGCAGGGATGTGGAACTGGATGGGCTTTAAGCCCCTTCCAACCCAAACCATTCCAGGACTGAGGGATTTGCCAAGGCTCCAGGTTTGCTGGGCTCTGTGGGATGTGGACAATGGGTGGACAATGCCCAGGGAAGGGAAGGAGTGGGAGGCTGGGAACACATTGAACTCACCAGCATCCATAACCAGAGTTTGAGAATCTGGCTTTTTGGTGAAACACCCAGAAAACAGGGACTAAGGTTTATTCCCACTGGGATTTAGGATCACTGTCCCCTAAGAGAGGCTTCCATCACTACAAACCCTGTGGATCATGCTCCTTTCCAGTTCTGTCCTCACCTTGCAGGCTGGCTGGAAAAAGGGAGAGCACAGAGTGCCACAGGGATTTTCCACTTTTGTGGGGTTGCACTTGGGAAGGCACAGCCCTTTCCATCAATATTTTCCTACAGCCTTTAAGCACCAGCAATTACAGCCACAGCTTCCCAGCCAGACCCTCCTGAGGTTTCTGGTTTGGGATTTCTTAAATATTATTATTTAAAAAAAAAAATACAGGAAAGGTGTGTGGGTTGGCCAAGAGCAAAGGAAAACTGGTGTGAGTAGCAAACTGTCTCCAGGACTTGCCATTTCTCCTCCATTTTCCCCAGTGGGGAGCAGCCTCACCCCGAAACTCTCCCTGTGGGATAGATCCCACAGTACCTCAAAAGCCTACACCAAACTCTCATTTTTATCCATTTAAACGTGGTATCTCTAAGCTGGGAGACACAGTGATGAGCCAGAGTGGATTCCCTGAAGCTGGCAGCATGGATGGACATGGATATCCCACCTTCCTGCCCTCCCAGAGTTTATCCAAAGGGAAAAGATACCTTCAGAATTCATCCTGGGAATAAACCAGCTGATGTGCCATGGTGGATGTTCTCCTTGGGTTTTCCTTCTCCTTGCAGTTCCCAACCTTGCCTTTCAGGGCCAGCAAAAGCCTTCGGCTGTGCTGGAATTCTCCGTGCCTTAGAGAGCTTTGGGCTCCTTATTAAGCCCCAGCTCAGTTTAAAAGGAAAAGGAAAAAAAAAAAAAAAAAAGCAAAATGAGTGATCTGGTTCCTAAATTCCCAAAATCTCAGCCCAGATTTCCTCCTGGAAAGCAATCCCAGATTTCCATGAACTCCACAGCTATTTATAAAGGAAAAAACAAGCAGCAGGACTTGCACTGACAACGTGGCCTTATAAACATCATCAGCCCTTGGAAGCCACCATTGTCCCTTCCCATCCCAGCTGTGTGCCCTGAGCCAGGAATGCCTGGATTTGGGAGCTCCTTGAGTCCATCCACAGCCCACCTGGGTATTCAGGAGGGTCTCATGGCAAGCAGCAGATTTTGGGCTGGGGAACAGCCCGGAGCACCTGAAATAATCCACGGAGGGATAATTTTCCAGCTGGAAAGTCGCCAGCTCCAGCTGCCAGTTTTGGGATGGAAACAGCCCCTGTGTGCCCTTTGCCCCCCTTTTCCCTTCAGGCAAAGTCTGATATTTTGGGGACACCAAACCCAAGTTCCTAATGCACAATATTCCATAACATTTCTAATCTGGACAGAGAGGAGCCCCCTGTGCTGAGGAAAACCCCCCTCATGGGGCACTCACCCCCCTGCACCCCCGCGGCCAGCCCAGGTACCTCAAATCCAGGGAATGTTGCAGCACCCAGCCAGCCTCAGTGTTCCTGCTCTGAGCTCAAATCCCTCTGAGTGGGGTGAGGCTGCTGATTTGGGATCTCTGAAGGCAGCACCTGCTTGGAAAGGGCTGTTGGCAATTCCAGTGTCCTCACCACTCCCAGGAGCTGTGGTGAGCCCACATCCATGGGCTGCTCCTCCACAAGAAGAAGCCTTCAAAAAGCCCCAAACCTCTATTTTATAAATTAAAACAAGGCACAACCGGTGATAAAAGCTGTGGCTGCAAAGAGAGAGCAGCTGCACCACACGAGCTCAGCCCACGATTTTGGTTTTCCAGGAAAGCCCTTGGCAGAGGGGACAAAGGGGGATAATGGGGGGCTTGGCGTGCCAGGGAGCTGCTGGGGGTGAGCACAGCGAGGGAGCTCTTGGAAAGGACCTTTCTGCTTCATCTGCCTCTCCCAAGCTTCCCAGAAATCTGGTGAGCAGATTTGCAGCCCGCCTGCTGCCAAACTCAATCCCGGCCCTGGAGATGCTGTTTGGATAAGGATGAGACAAAAATTCTTCAGCTCATCTCCGTGGAGCTGAGCCACGGCAGGCTGGAAAGGTGCAGGACAACCCTCAGGACACTCAGCTGTCCCCAGAGAGGTGGCACTTCCCAGCCACACACAGGGACATCCACCCAGGGGTTCAGCATGGGATACCAGGGACTCCAAGGCAAATCAAATCCCAGCCCTCACTCCCAGCTTCCATTCCCAAACTCCCCTGAATGTTGTTTTAGGAGCACTGCCCTGCTGGGCAGGGAGGAGGCTGCAGGTCCCACATCCCCACGGGATCATGGGAGCCTCCAAGGAGGCTCTGGGCACCTCCTTTCCAGGGACCTGGCCTGGACTCACCTGCCCAGGGCTCTGAAACTCCAGGCTCTGCTCCCAGTAAGGCTTAGACCTTCCCCTTCTTCCTCATCTTCTTCCTCTTCTTTTTCTTCTTGTTTTTGTTCTTCCACCTCCTCCTTCTCCCCTGCCCAGCCCCTGCAGACCTCTCACCACAGGAATTTAGGATTTATGCCCCCCAGAATTCCCCCCCCAAAAACCTCTCCCCACTCCAATGAATGCTGCATCCTCAAGACCTTCCTTTATAAGGGAGAGGAAACTGCCCCTGGAGAGCCATTAGAGGCTTCCAGTAATTAGCAATTACCAGTCCTGAAGAGCTGCCCCTGCCTCTCCTAATGAGGTTTGGTGCTAATTATAGCAGGCAGGGCCAGGAGCCCTGGTGAGGGGCCGCGGCAGCGACCACACGGAGCCTTCTGGATTCCTTGGGATATAAAAAAGGGCCGGGGTTACTCCAGGACAGCGATCCCGGCCCTGCCGAGTGCTCCTCCACTGCCAGGAGCGCTGGGGATGCTGTTCCAGGGCTGGCCTGGCCTCCTGCTCATCAGCTGCTCCTGTCTCATCCATCACTTGGAATAATTCCTGCTGAATATTGCGGGATTCCGCCATGCCCGGCTCCAGCCAGCAGCTAAATCCATCCCCTTGGACCAGCCCTGGGGATATTTGGGAGCTGAGCAACGTGGAATGAGGGCACCCAAATCCTTCATTTGTCAGGCTCAAGTGTGTGTTCAGTGTGTCCCATGGAGTTTAATCCCTCCTGAGCTCTTCTCTGCCCATCCCAGCATTCCCCAAACCGGCTCTTCTCCAGCCAGGGCAGCAAAACCCACCCCAACTGCTTGAAAACAAACCCCCAGCCCAGCTCCATGTTCAACTCCCTTGGGAATGCCATAAACCCCCTAAAAATAAACAAAACCCCCTCCTTGTCCAGCCCCCTGAGGCATTTTAGCCCCATTTGGGCTCTGCCCATACACAGAGCCCTGAGTGAATTTTAATTCACTAAATTAAATTTCATTCAGTGAAATTGGATTTTAATCAAGGTGCTGAGAAGGAGCAGCCCCAAATTGCTTTCCCGGCCCAACTCTTTGATGGGGCTCATTTTCCCTCCGCACAGAAGAATGTGTGTATGAAGAGAAATGGAATATAAGGAATGCTTGAAACCCCTTGGAGAGACACAAGCAGCACCAGGAAACACCTCTGGGAGCTGTAGGAGGGCAAAGGGTGCCTGGAGCAGGCTGAGGAGTTGGGATAAGTGGCTTCCCAGGCTGTGATCCTCCAGGGAATCCTTTTAGGGGTGGAGGGAGCCAGGAGGGTGCATGGTGCCAGGGCTCGGGGGGAGGATAAGAGGCATGCCCAGCCCTAATTTAAGGGTGATCCCACACCATGCACTCCTTTCCTTAAGCTCCCTAAAATAACCTGTCCTGGGAGTGCCACAGGCGGTTGGGAACTCGGCTTTTATTGTCACAGGACACGGCAGCAGACAATGGGGTCGGTCACAACAGAGGGGACAGGGGAGTCACACCACAGGGTCCCAGCACAGCCACCCCGACCAGCCACACAGCCCCAACACCCAGAGGGAGGGAAGGAATATGAGCCACGAGCCCAGCTCCTTCCCACACCTTTCCTGCCCCATCCCTGTGCAAAACAACAACTCCTCAGGCCACAGTGGTTTTCCCTCTGGGAACGGGGCAGCAGATGAGCAGACAGAGGGGGACCTGCAAGCAGCTTCTGGAATCGGCTCCGTTGTGTCCGTACCACTGAGCACAGCCTGGATGGGCTGGAAGGGTTTGAGGATACAGGGGTTTTACTCACCAGCCACGCTGAGGAATCAGGCTCCATCCCCAGGGAATGGCTGCTGCCAGCCCGGGAGCCAGCACAGCCCTCGGGGTCACCCAGCATGGTGGGTGCTGGGTTTGGGGTGCAGACACACCCAGCCAGCTCAGGGGAGGGGGAAAGCCCCCCCAGACGTGCCTGTGCTGGGTCTGAGCCCCACCAAAACACGGCTGAGTCTCCCTCCAAGGGTTGTCCCAACACCCCTGGAGTCACCAGGGCCACCTCAGCTCTGCCAGAGGGAGAGGAGGGAACAAAGGGATCAGACGGATGAAGAAAACCTTCCCTGCTGGCACAAAGCCCCCTGTAAGAAGAACCCACAGGCTTTTGCACCCAGTGCCACCCTCCCCACTCCTGCCCTTCCCCTCCGGAGAGCCGGCACAGCCCCAGCAGCCGCCCCCATCCCGGGCTGGAGCCGGGCGCTCACTCGGGAATGTAGTCCCTGAAGGAGTTAAAGCTGAGGCTCCGGCCCGCGGAGTTCAGGGTGGAGCTGGCTTGCATTTTGGGAATCTTCTCCATGAGCTTGGACACTGTCCTCCTCTTGAAGGAGCCCGGCGAGAAGTGGCCCTGCCTGAGCAGCTCCTGGTAGAGGCTGCTGAACACCGCCACCGGCTCCTCGTAGCTGTCCCGGGTGGAGATCTCGTAGAAGGGAATCTTGAGGGCTTTGGAGAGGTTCTCCCCGTCCTCGGTGGACACCATCCTGTCGAACTGCAGGTCCTTCTTGTTGCCCACGATGACCACGGGGGGCTGCTCGGCGGGGCCGCTGCGCTTGGGGCTGGCGTGCAGGTGGTTGATGAGGAAGCAGAGCCGCATCACCTCGTCGAAGCTGCAGCGGTCGGTCACCGAGTAGACCACGGCAAAGCCATCGCCCCACTTGATCTTCTCCTCGATCTGCAGGGAGTCCTCCTCCTGCCGGGGCACACAGGCTCCCGTTAGCACCGCTGGAATGCCGGCACTGCTGGCATGCAGCCCCGGAGAACCTCCCGAGGGCGCCGTCCCCGTGAAGGCTGACAAGGAGCAGCCCCAAATTGCTTTCCTGGCACAGCCCTTTGATGGGGCTCATTTCGCAGCCCCTCCCACCCCAGGAGAACATGGGTGTATGAAGAGAAATGGAATATAATGAATCCCCTCCCTTGAAGGGAAACCCTTTGGAGAGACACAAGCAGCACCAGGAAACACCTCTGGAGCTGTAGGAGGGAAAAGGGACAGCAGTGGTAACACCGGCAGCCCGGGGCAGGGATGGGGTGGCTTAGGCAGTGTGGCAGGTGGGGACACCATCAGCCCTGTCCTGGCATGGATACTGGGGGAATCAGTGCTCCCTTGAGCTGCCAGGAGGCTCCACTGGCACAGGAAGCACAGCAATGCCCTGCATGCGAATGGGGGAATATTTACCTGAAGGGAATAGGAATGGAGGAATATATTACACTGTAACTGAGGTTAGACAAAAATTCACCAAAACACCCTTTTCCTGAGGTAACCACCATGATGTTCCAGACACCAGGAATTAGGCCAGTGGAAGAGCAGGGGGCTGCCTTCCCTGGCAGGCTGAGCTCACCTGTCCGGCTGTGTCGAGGATCTCGAAGTGCACCATCTCCCCATCGATGACAGCCACGTGCCTGTAGATCATTTCTGGGCAGGACACACAGGGAAGGTGTGTGAGAGAACCCCCAGGGAGCAGCCACAGCCCAGGCTGGTGGAGAGGGCAGCAGTGACCAAAGTGTGGGAGCAACAGGGGAGGGAGAGGGTCTCCACAGGAGAGAGGGAGGAGGGGATATTTCTGGGACATTCCAGCAGGGACATGGCTTCAGTGCTCAAAAAACAACCCAAAAACAAGAAAAAAACCAAACCCCAAAATCCTAGCATTCAGGAGAGCACAGGCTCCAGGGGCTTAGATGCCTCCTGTCATTTAAAAGCCACCTCCCAGCAGATTGGGAAGGAATTCAAGGAACTGAGGAGGAACTGTTGGTTTGATGGTAGGACTCTCAGAGGTCTTTGCCAACCTAAATGATTCTGTGATCCTATGATTCTGCATGATTCCACAACCCCATGACTGAGCCTGCAGCACTTCCCTGTGCAATCTGATGGTTTGTCCCAACAGATTTTGCCTAAATGACACCAGAAAGGGAAAAAGGCATGCAGGACCCAGGGAGGTGTCAGGATGTCCATGGGCTGCCTGTCTGGTTGAGGAGGAAGAAGAGGGAATATGGTGAATTTGGGAGCAGAGTTGGCTCTGCCATGGAAAGGAAAAGGAGTTTTCCTACCTAGGGTTGGGTCATAGTCTCCAATGAATCTCCTGGTGATGAATCGCACGGTCAGCGCTGGAAAAAAACACAACGAACCCTGTTGGAGCTGTCAGTCCTCTGGACTAATTTTTCCTCCTTGCAAGGGCAAAGGAGCAGCAGGAGCAGCCACAGCTCAGGCAATTAAACCCCCTCATCTGATTAAACATCTCCCTGCACCAGAGCCCGGCGAGGCAAAGCCTTTAGCCCTAACATCTTTTCCAGGAAGCTGCTTTGGAAATGCAGTGCTGATGCCTGGAGAGGGAATTTCTGGACAAAGCTATGGTTGGGAGGGTGAAGAGAGTGCAGGAGTGGAAAGTGGAAGTAGTGCTTGAGCCCTTCAAGGTGTTGATGATGATGATAATAATGGAGATGGGAGTGAAAGGTGGTGGAGAGGCTGAGAGCTGGCTTGGAAAGGCAACGGGAGTGGAAAGTGAAATTAGTGGAATAGGGGGAAAAAAACAGGGGGAGGGAAAAACCCCGAAAGAGCTAGGCAGGAGCACAGAGCCAGGAGGGAGAGGAGGAAGGGAAAACAGACCAGGAGTGTGACAGGAGGATAAACCGCACCAGAATCAGGATGTGATAAAAATCCTTCCAGAAACAAAAGTGGAAATGAAAAGCCACCAAGCTGGAACAACACTGGAGCAACACTTGGAGCTCCCTTTCCCCTGCAACCCAGGGTCAGTTTGTCCCAGCTGCCCACCAGCAGATGTTGCTGGTGTCCTGCCCTCACAGATCCACACCAAGCTGATCAGGATCTGTGTGTTTGTCCCAGGAATGTGGCACCCCAGATGGGCCAGGCTTAAATAACCACAGAAAGGGAAAGAGGGATGCAGGAACTTCTCCTGCCTCTCACACCTGCTTGGCTCCTCTTTGGGTGCTTCACCATCCACTCACCCCCCCACCCCCAGTGTGTCTCTGGGTTTGAAACCTGCACAGCAGGGAAGGGATTTGAAGAAAAAAGCAGGTAATTTAGCCAAACTGCTCTGAGGAGATAACCAGGGATCCTGCAGGAGGCACCTACAGGCACCTTCAAAGAGGCAACGGAGTTATCGGGGGGAGCGGGACGAGGCAGGCACGGTCTCCAGAAAGCACCTGATTGTGTGTCATATGTCAGGCAGCCACCCAAAGCTGGAGCACATGGTGTGGGATGAGAAGAGGAGCCAATTAGATTGATTAAAAATTGGCTGGAGCGCAGGAACACGAGGGGAGCTGCCAGTGGGGGAAGCGGCCGCAGGCGGAGCGGCCGCGGCCACCCAGCCTTATAAGGAGCTTTTTCTCCCCATCCTGAACATCAGTCACCTCGGGAAGGGTTTTCCTTGGAGCTGGAAGGGTTAATTATGCTTTAAATGTGGGGTGGGGGCTCAAGGGGTGATTTACCTGCCACGCAGTCAGGCTGGGCACCTCGGGATCGCAGCAGGCGCGTGCCCACGTGCTGCCCTGTTTGTGCCGCTGCGGAACGGCCCCAGCGCCGATCCATCTTCGCTCCACGTGCTGCAGGCAGAGCTCTGCTCTGGATTATGGCAGAGTTTACGCTGGGCAGCAGCAGCAGAGGATAGCACAAGCCCCAGCTGGGCTGGATTTCCAGCCCCTGCTGCTGATCCACACAGCCCTGATCCTTAAACCGCACGGCTGCACCCAAACCCACTCCTGCTTGGAGGGTCTGGGACCTCGGGTCTCCAGATCCTGAAGGTTTCCAAACTGCTCCAAAAAACCAAACTCCTGCTGAGAATCAAGGGTTATTTTTCTCTTTTGCAGCTGCCCACGTGGGATTTGTTCCCACCCCTCAACTCTCCCAACCGGGCTCTTGTATCCCATGGTTGCAGCAGCTCGTCCTGGGGATGCTCCGGAGTGGGGCCCTGCCAGGATGGGAGCTTGGCAGCTCGGGGATGAAATCCACCTCCAGCCTCCTCTGCTTCACACCCTGGCCAGGAGAGGTGTCACCCCCACCTTGGGGCACAGCTGCCTCCCCCGTCCTCCCCACAGGAGCTGAAGCAATGGTGCTGCTGCTCTTGGCTCCTTCCTCGCCTCTCCCACACTCCCCATGCATCACCTGGGATGTCACCTGCCAGCTGGGCAGGGACAGCAGGACAGGTGTCCTCATCCCCAGCGCAGGGGCTGGCGGGAAGCAGGACCTGGCAGCTGGGGCACAGCGCCCGGGGAAGGTGACACAATGTCCCCTGGCAGGAGAGGACGTGTGGAACAGCGCCCAGGGGACACAGACGGGGAGGGACACACTCAGGGGGCTGCGTGCCTGCCGCTCCCAGGGGCTGCTCCCTGTTCCTGGCACGCTCCAGCTCTCCTCTGCACGAGCCACAGATCAATTACCCCCCTGTGCCCCACGGCCTGTGTCACTGTCCCACTGTCACAAGCCCCGCTGCTGCAAGGCACACATGCTGACAGCCAGCCCTAACTGGAGGAGCTTTTAAAGACCCTTGGCACCATCCCACCCTAAGGGGGAGGCACAAAACCCCCACACCTGCCCACAGGAGGGTTCCAAAGCTGCCAGGAATCTGCTGCGTGCCGGGTGGGATGCCCAGCAGCAGGGAGACACACGTGTTTGGGGTGGGGGCGAGCCAAGGGCTGCGTACGCCCCGTACACCCGTCTGCTCCATCGGGGCCAAACGCCTCCAGGGAACCCCCGGGGCTCCGGGTACCCCGGAGCTGAGCCCCATCCCGTGCTCCAGCATCGCTCAGGGAGAGCTGGGAGTTGCTTCCTTAGTTTAATCAGGGAATGAGGATTTTTCGTTAATGCCGGCTGCTGTCCATGGAAACACAATTCCAGTGGCTCCGACAGCCCGGCACAGGTGCCACTGCTGCGGTGCCTTCCCTTTGCCAGAGAGGCAGGACATTCCCTGTCCCCAGGCAGCACAGCTGTGTCCTACCATGTTTTGCATGGATCATGGATCACTGCAATGTTGATCCACATTTTTCCCTGCCTCTGACCCCAGTCCTGGCACTCCGAGTGCTGCCGGGGACACCTTTGCCCCCAGGTGGTCACAGCTCGGGATGGAGGAGTGGGAAGCAGGGAAGGATGATCCCCAGGAAGGAATGGGAGCTGAGGTGCTCGCAGCACAGTATCCCAAACCCCCACCTCAGCCGGCGCAGACGGAGAGCGCTGAACAAAGCACAGGGAAAGGGAGTTTTCCTGAGGGAAAACAGCCCGATGCTGCAGAGGAGGCTCCGCACAGCTGCTGGGGGCGCTGGGAATGAGCAGCCAACTCCTCACACCCGGGAAAACCCAATCCCGAGCCCGGCTTTTAGGAAAGTCCTCCCGGTCAGTGACGTCCACCCCCGGTCCCCAGGCAGCCGGAGACCCCTCGGGCAAGGGAAAGGAGCGCCGGTGCAAAGTGTCCATGTGGGAAACTCGATGGGAAGGAAACTCAGTGCCCTTAAACCCCACGGGCTGGGGGGCACCGGAAGAATGTCCCTCGTCCCGGCTTCCTAAGGGACATGGGAAGGTTGGTCCCTCTGGCCGGGAGGGAGAATACCGGGGGGTGCCAGGGCATAGCAGAGGGATGCAGGAAGATGCCAGAGGGATGCGGGGGACACCGAGGGACACCGGGGGGATTCCGGGGAGCCCCGTCCTACCTGTCTTGCCCACGGCGCTCTGTCCCAGCACGACGAGGCGCAGGGTGCGGGCCGGGCTGAGGCTCACGGAGCGGCGCAGGGGCCGCGGGAAGCTCATCCCGGAGCCGGCCCGGGCTGCCCCGGGATCCGCCGCTCCCCGCTCCGCCGGGCGCTGCTCCGCCGGCTCCGCCCCGGGGGCCGGGCTGGGCTCAGCCCCGGGCGGGCCGGCTGATGCCCTCCTCCTCCTCCTCCTCTCTCCTGGCCAGCAGAGGCGGTCGTCATCCCGTCCCGGAGGCGGTTCGGGAGCCGTGCCTCAGTTTCCCCGCAGGCAGCAGCGCCGGGCAGCGCTTCCCGGACAGGAAAGGTGCTCCCCCCAAAGGGGCAAAGGCACTGCTGGACGGAGCCACCTGGGCTGTGGAAGGTGTCCCTGTGCATGGCAGGGGGTGGCACTGGATGGGCTGTGAGGTCCCTCCCATCCCAAACCCTCCTGGCGTTCCCTGAGTCTATAAGAGTGAGGAAAGAGGGAAGTGGTGCAACACCTCCCCAGCCAGAGCAACACAGCCAGAGTGCTGCCTGCCCCCAAAGCGCTGCCTGAAATCATAATTGTCCCCGTGACTGTGCACCAGACAAGTCAGTAGAGACAAGAGGAGCTGACTTAGCTCCAGCCTTCCCCCTTGTCCCACGAGCAGGGCAAGGAGTGAATCCTGGCTCAGCACAAACCAGCCACTAAATCCCCATGGATATCCAAGAGCAGGGACTCCACACCAGGCCTGAAACTAAACTTTGTGTGTTTTGGGGCAGCAGCGTGGGGTGTACCCAGGTGTGCAGGGAATGTGTAACAGCTCAGAGCAGTACCTGGAGCTGGCATGGATGTGCCTTGGGCATCCTGGGAAGAAGGGACAAGCCTGGCAACACCTTGAGCAGCATTCTTGACTCTCTCCATCAGACCCCAGAACACTTCTGACCCGTGGGACACAGATCCCAGGGTGACACCAGTGCTGCAAAAAAAGAAACTGGGAGAAGGGACCTGGCCAAGGATGTGGAGCCTTCAAATGCCCACATCAGGGGCTCGGTCCCTTTTCTAAAGGCTGCAGTCATTTCTCTGGCACAGGGATCTCTCAGCCTGACCATCTGGGGTGACTTGGCACAGCCCACTCTGTGCTTGAGGGAACATGAACCCACCTGGTATTTATAGCCCCTATCAGGTGTCCAAAGGGAACGTCCTGATGCCTACAGGGACATCAGCTCTCAACCAGCCACAGGGTTATCGGGATCACAGCTGCTGCCAGCGGGATCAGTGCTGGAGGGAGGCCTCTGGATAACACAGGGACTGTCGTGGGGAGGCCTGGAGAGCCAGCAGACCTCTCCCAGAAACCCATCTTGCCATCACGTGTGTCCTCCTTGTGCATCAGCCCCTGGAAACAGCCCTGCTCCGGCTTCTCCAAAGCAAAAATCAAGCTCATTGCTACATCTGGGGCCCAGAAAACAACAGCGAGGCAATAAACAGATTTTGGGACAAAAGCTGATTCCCAGCTGGGGAACGGGGGGGTGTCAAGAAAAAGAAGTCTCCTTTACATTCCTTCCCTATTTTTAGCCCCATTTCCTACGGAAATGAGATGTCTGCAATCAAGTCCTCTTCTTGCCTGATCCTCTGCAAGACCAGTTCTAATACATTCCTGATTCCAGGCAAACGAGGGAGAAGCCACAGAGAAAACCCTTTTCCTGTGAGTTGTGTGACAACAAACGGGCAAATTTCATGGAAAATCGACCCTTGCACTTGGGAAGGCAGAAACTGGCTGGGGGAATGCAGAGTAACAATTCCTGCTGCTCCAGGTTCCTGCTGTGCTTGCCTCAGGTGCAGCACCTTGGCAGCACAGCCCTGGCAGCTGGGCAGTCACATTTGCCTTAATTCTGAGTGTGTTAACAGCACATGGATTCATGGATTCTTGGGGATGAGGGAACAAAGGGACAAGAAGGATGGAATTAAGATGGAAGCACAGCTGCACTCATGCCACAGACTTCCAACGTCACCTTGGGAAAATCAGCTCCCTTCCCACCACCTCCATCACCACTATGACCTTCCAATCCAATACCAGCTGCTCCAGAAAAATGTATGCCTGGATTCTTTAGGAGAAGGGTCAGTGCGAGTCCCAGAGCTGGGGAGTTTGTGTCCCTGACAGCACAACTGGGAGAAACTCCTGCTCCTCAGGCACAGCTCTCCTTGGCGAGGTGGAAACCACATGCGAGTCCCCACAGGAGCACTCAGCGCCACGTCCCACGTTTGCCAGGGAATATTTGGCAATGGAAACAGGACTTTATCACCAGTGATCGCTGAATGATCCACCTCCAGTGCTCTGCAGCTGAGCCCAGTGGGAAAGGTGCAGGAGATATTGAGTCCTGGTGAAATATTTGTGGTCAGGCTCCTCCATACTTGCCGGTCCTTCAAGACACAAGGAGTCTGATCTGGGAACCAAGCCAGAGGCTCCCATGAATCACAGCCCTGCAAACAGAAATCAGCTGAAATGAAAAGCTGACCTAGAGCAAGAGCCAAACCTCCACAGGTCATAGCCCCAGATCGGGGGGATCCCATTCCATGGTCTAAACCACTTCCCTGCTGGATTGTCAGCCATTTTGAGAGCTGCCCAGAAACTGAACTTTGAGGCTTTTGAAACTGGGCCATGGTGTTTTCTTACTTAGGAAAGAAAGAGAAAATAACACCAGTCCTTCTTCTCTCCATGATATGATGCAAAGGCATGGAATGCCAAATGATCCATGCAGGAGCCAACTCCAGTTCAAAAATGATTGAGGTATCTCAAACTTTGGTTCCCCAAGGCTTAGCTCCTCTCCCAAGCCCCCATTTGAAGGGCTCAAACCCTTTTCCAGCTCACCCACCACATTAAATTGCCACTCGTTAATTACTGCACAGACATTCCCTTGTGCAGCTCCATCAGGGAATGCTCTCCAAGGATATAACCAGAGCCACACTGCCCTGTCCATAAACACATTTTGGGTTGCTGCAGCAAACCCAGCACACCCAAGAATCCTCCCAGCCTTCAGCCCCTCACCTTCCTTCACTCACTCTGTTCCTTCTGACACCAATCCTGCTGTGAAACCTGTGCATTCACATCCAAGGCACAAGGACACAGATCCCAGCTGCTTCTCCATTTGCTATAAATGGAGAGAGGGAAAACAGATGAAAGGCCCCATGTCCAGGCATGCTGGCCACTGCTGGACTCCTCCGTGTGGGATTTGCATCAACACGGACCCACTGGGAACACGTTCCCTTTCTTTTTTTTAATAAAAGGCTGTTTTTTAGGTCACAGGAGATAATAAAACCTCTAGTGCAAGAGAAATCCAACCAACAGAGTTTCCTGATGTCCCGTTCCCGTCTGCCGCTGAAGCGGATTCCGACACGCGGCTGGATCACGCTGAGAAAACAAGACTGGTTCCACGTCAGAGCTCAAAGACTCCTTCCCAAAGCTGTAGGGATAAAAAACACAGAGAAGGGGCAAATCAACAGCACTTCCCTCCCACCCCAGGGCCTGAACAACATGTCCCGAGAGCTTTGGATAAACACCGGCAGCTCACGGCTGGCAGAGCGCGCGATCCAAATGTCCTGAGGGAGCTGCTAAATCCCCCTGCTGCCCCGTGGCTTCCAAAGAGAGTGTCCTGCACTTTGTTTTCCCGCAGGAGCTGGCTGTTGGGAAGGAGGACACAGCCACAGACCCCGTCTGTCAGGCTCCATCAGACTCCACAAACAGCTCCTCACGGCGGGAAGCTTCCCGCTGCGGGAACGGCTTTGCTTGGGAAGCTGATTTTAGAACACAGCACACTGTGCTGAGGGAAGGAAGACAAATCCCATAGTGGAAGTAACTTAAACCACCAGAAACGCTGCAAAAAGCAGTCCTGTGGGATGACCAGGGCGGGGCTGTTTTACCTTCAACCACAAGTAGGATTTTATGTGAAACACAGCTCCAAGCCCCTTGAAGCTGCAACAACCAGAGCACTGGAGGGGTTTGGAACAGCACCAGCCTTTGAAATGATGGAAAACTCGCTCCTAAAAGCAGCTGGAGCTAAGGGGGAGGGAAAAACCTGGAGCCACAAAGAAATTCTGGTGCCACAAAGGAATTCCGGTGCCATAGGCCACTCTTGAAAGGGTAGAGAAGGTCAGGGCTGGACTCAGTGCACGGCACACAGAAATCAGGGATCCCGGAGAGGGGAGAGCGAGGAGGGGTCTCGGGGGACACACACCTGGGATCCAGGGAGGAGCAGGGCCAAGGATGCTCTTGGCGTTCCTGCCCCGAACAAGGGACGCCATGGGGAGCCGAGGGAGCAGCGAGGGCACCTCCCGAATCATTCCCGCCAGCCATTCCCGAGCAAACCTTGCAGCTGGCGAGAAAACAACGCTTCCTTATGATGGGAAATGTCAGGGCTGCGGAGCCAGCTGTCCTGCTGCCGCCGAGCCCTGCCGGCATTCTTGGAAAGCACAGCAGGAGCGGCACAGGCAGCGGCTTTGTGGCCAGCGGGCAGGGATCAGCGCTGGAATTCACTCCCAATTCCCAGCACATGCCCTCTGCTCGGCTCTCCAGCCTCCCTCCCGGGGGGGACAGACGCCACAGGGGTGGCCGGAGCCCAGGCCTGCTTCTTGTCCGACCCACGTGGATCTTCAGCTCTGGGCAAAGCATCTCAAATTCCACCCGGATCTGTTTGGTCCTGGCAGAGATATTTCCACCACGGATCAGTGCTTAAAGGAAAAAAAAAAAATCCCAAACCGGTTTTCTTGAGAAATTCCTGCTCTCAGCCTATTTCAGTGCTATTTAGCACCAGGAAGGGTGACAAGGATCACCCCCCTGAAGCCCCACGGAGACCTGTGACTTCATCCCTGAGAGCTGGGCATTCCTGCTTCCACTTGGAATAACAAGAAGCTTTTGATTCAAATTCTCCTGAAGAAAGCATCAAAATAATCCCTTTTTTACCTCGGTCTGAATAAATCCAACAAAACCTGCCTATTTTGCATCATAAACATTTTTAAGCCAAAAACTTCCTGATACTGAATGGATTTTCCCTTCCTGAATTTTTGCCCCCCCAAAATGCAGTGAAACCACCCTAATTTGGTGTAGTATCTCACTTGGATCAGATCTACATTCCCAAGGGCTTTTTGGGGGAACAGACT